TTTTGTTCCATGTGCTGTAAATATATCTTGCTACTTTTCATTTGATGTTGTGATATTTTTGTTAAGCACTTTGGTAACAGTTTCTGTTTTAAATGTGCTCGATAAATAAATCTGACTTGACTTGACAACACAGCACTACTATGATTAAAAACATTGTAAAAGACCTACATCACACACTTAGCTTCTATCTCACTTAATCTCTTGTTCCGTTTTGCATCTCTGTCTGATCGTCTCAAGTTGCATTCAGCTCTGGGCGCAGGAGAGATGCGCCGCAGAATGTTCTATCTCTTGTTTTGAAGAGGAGCTACTGCACATGTGCAACTTTTAATGAGAGTCTATGGGCAAAGATTTTTGCGCCCCAGGGCAGAAATACGTCAAACAGACAACGTCAATGAACGAAACAACGTTACTCATCATTAACTATAAAATATTTACCTTACACAACAAACGTTACTCATCATTAACTATAAAATATTTACCTTACACAACAAAAAATATATGCATATATTTTTAAATATTTTTATTTTATTATTTAATTTTTTATTTAATTATTTTTATGTCTAAGTCAAGGTAATGTGGTGAGTGGTGGAGCGGCGCCCTTGGACCCTCTATTGGCCAGCTGCCACTGCTTCAGACCTTTATTTATGGGACACTAAGAACTTATGACCAACAAATAAGAGGGGGGGAGTGGTGGCGCAGAGGTTAGAAGATGGGCTTGTGATCAGAAAGTCGCAGGTTCACCTCCCAGTACCGTCAACATCAAAATGTGGGTGGAAAAAGTGAAACACCCACACCTCCCTCCACCCTAATTCACCCCACTCTGGGCCCCCGAGCAAGGCCGTCAACCCCCACCATCTGCTCCCTAAACAGATCTCTCTTGAAAATGAGTTTTCGTGGCTCAATGAGACTTCCTGGATAAATAAAGGGTAAATGAAAAAAAAAGAAACGTGTCATCAGGTGTCCAACTACGTCTCCAGGACAGAGGACAGTAATCTTGACTTTCTGTACAAAGGATACAAGCCCTTAAAGAAAGAAGGGACAGAAGTCATTAATATTAAGACGAAGACACCACTGTCCACGTGTCTATGGGACACACCATCCTGCATGTTTTATCTGTTTTTTATATATCTGTTTCAACACTACTGATTTATAGAACCTCAGCAGATCCAGCCTGGACAGGTCACAAGTCCATCACAGGGACACACAGAGACAAACGAGACGGAGGACCATCACCAACCTTAGCAAACACACGTCTACAGTGCAGTCAGTTTTACAGATGTTGAGCTAAAGTGTGATGTGGTAGAAGCTGGGAGTTATTCACAACATTCCAACTATCATCATATCACCTAAACATTTACAAACAGATGCCTCATTTATAAAATCTTTAAGAATGAACTTAAATCATAAAGAGACTGATTCCTTCAATGTCGTTTTTTTGTTTATTCCTGTCTGATGGAGCAAACCTGAAGGATTATTTGCTGTAATCTGTACAATCCTTAGGTACATTTAATAAAATTAAATCATCCGAGCACAGAGAATAACCTCCGGAGGACTTCTTGAGAATATAGATCACCATTAAATAAGATTATACTCATGTCAGAATCTATGGGTGGATAAGGCAGTCCATCCAACATGGGCTTAGAGAAGACTGCTGGTTAAAAACAAAAGACCCCAAGATATACAGAACCCAATATATTCAAATAGTGCATGTGCGGAGAACGTGTGTTTGTATAAATCATGTCTCCACAGCCTAAGATTGACCAAAAAAAGGTAACAAGACGTTTCCTTGCCTCAAAAAATAAAGATCTAATTCTACAGTAAAAATTTAATTTTAGCTTTAATTTAATTTCATTTTAATGTTTTCCATCTGCTTTTGGATGTGGGGAACAAAAAACAAAGTATCATCAATATTACAACCAAAGTATTTAAACCTGAGAAACTACTTCAATCTGAGAGTGGTAAAAGTAATGATGAGCACCAGCTGTGGTTAAAACAGTTTTAGAAAACAGCACCACTTTTGATTTATGAGCATTCAACACAAGTTTTAGTTCACACAGATTGTACTGAACCACATTAAAAACTGTAGGCCACTTTTCAAAAACACTTTGTACTGGCAGCACAATGTAAGATGGTATCAGCATAAAAATGACATTTAGTGTACAGCACATTTTTATGTGAAGAATAAACTGTAAATACGCATATTTATATACACATTATGAAAATAAGTGGACCCAAGATAAAGCTTTGTGGAACACCCTTGGATGCCTGAAGACAAATGGAAGAAAGATCAACACTTGAACACATTGTGAATAGTTCTTAAACCATTCAACTGCTTCCTGAGACGGCCCAATTTAAAGAGGCTTTTCAGCTGGGTAAAAGAAAGGCAGCACGATGTCGCTTTTTATTTAAAAATATTATAAAATTATTCCTTACTTTTAAAGTTGCTGGAGTTTTACTGTGAATTGTTCTTAACCCGACTCTTAAGTCTAATTAAACCAAAATTATTCTCATCTACAAAATCACAAGGTTTTTCTTTGCAGCGCTTTATCGTAAAAAAGTCGAGAAACTTCTCGTCTTTCTCAGATTTCATTTGTTTTTGTCGGAGAGAAAATCCTCTGAACTCACCTTAAACGTGTCGTCTGATGTTTCTTCAGAACGTCTGGACGTCACCGTAACGTTTCAGTTTAGTGTCGAAGAAACTTCCTCTTGAACTTAGAGGAGGAGGAAGCTTCATCCACGGACTGATGACTCAGTTTTTGTTTTATGGTAAATTAAAAGTTTTGTTTTAAATATTACTGAGGTTTTACTTTTATCGCTGGTTTTTCTTCTTTGTTTGTTTGTTTGTTGTGTTTTAATTGTCCTAAATGTTCAATTATCAGAAAACAACAGTGATGCAGTGCCGTCCTCTGGACTGGTTTAATACATAAATTTGAGCACTAGTTGTCCACGATGAGAGGTGCAGAGCTGGTGTGGGTCTACTCTTAGCCCCGACTTGGTGTCTGTGTGTTGGAGTTCTCCCGGTAGATGAGAGGGTGGCTTCCCTGCACCTTCAGGTGGGGGTGGGCTCTGACGGTTGTTTGTGCCTATGCACCAAACAGCAGTTCACAGTATCCAGCCTCCTTGGAGTCCTTGGCGGGGGTGCTGGAAGGTGCACCAGCTGGAGACTCCTTTATTCTGCTGGGGGGCTTCAATGTCCACGTGTGTAATGACGGTGTGACCTGGAGGGACGTGATTGGGAGGAACGGCCTCTGATCTGAACTCAAGCTTTGTTCTGTTGTTGGACTTCTGTTCTAGTCATGGTTAGTCCATCACGAACACCATGTTCAAACATCAGGGTGTCTATAAGTGCACTTGGCACCAGATGGACCTAGGTCGTAGATGGATGATTGTTTTTGTAGTCATGTCATCTGATTTGCAGATGTTTGTTTTGGACACTCGGGTGAAGAGA